TATGTATGGATTGTGATAAGAGTTGTATGAGCCCCTAAAAAAACAATTAGAAAAAAAAGAAAAAAGAAACACAAATTGAGACACCAAAAAAATAAAGAGATGTCCAGAGCTCCTGGGTGGTGCAAATGATTATGCACTGGGCTGCTAACCGCAAGGTCAGCAGTTCAAAACCACCAGCCACTCCACGGGAGAAAGATGAGGCTTTCTACTCCTATAAAAAAAGTTACGGTCTCAGAAACCCCGGCTGATAGGGTTGCTATGCATCGGGATGGACTTGATGATAGTGAGTGGGTTTTGTGTTTTTTCAATCGTTTTGCTTTGTTTTGTTGTTTTCTGACCAGCCACGGAAGCTCCCTGCGCACATGGGGATTTTATAAATGTCTTTGTTTTCTGCTATATCCCCAGTGCTAGAGCCAGGCCTCTCAGTGCACCATAAACATCTGTTGAGTGGGTCACCGGCAGGCATATCATTTTGCCGCTTGCCTTCCTCATTTTGCATCACATCCCGGGATTGACGTCGCCCGGTCCTCACGGAGCTGGTACCGTGTGTTTTGGCTTCTCACCCCCAGCCACTTTCCCCGTGAGAACTGCACCTGTCACGACTCCAAACAATGCTCCCAAGAACGCCCTTGCACACATCCAGGACTTCCTCTGAGGTCTATATCCTTGAGTGCATTGCTGACTCAGAGGGGACACGAGTCCTCCGCCCCACCAGGCATGGCCACAGTGCTCCACAAGGGGTTATGCCAAGTGACACGGCCCTGCGTTCCGATCTGACCACATCCTTTCCGGCACAGTGCAGTCAGGCCTTCTACCGCGTGCCTATCTCGTGGTGGGTATCTTAGATGATGCTTTCAAAACAGAAGCCAATCTCGATGGTTCTGATCCTACCAACCGTTTCAGAGACGGTGCAGGACCAGGCAGGGCTTTATCATGCTGTACATCAGGTTACTGTGAGTTGGCACAGGCTCGATGCTACCTAACCAGACACTGGCCAGAAACTGCCAAGCCATTGCACAACTTCTCTTCAATGGTCTTTGCAACCACCCTGTGAGGGAGGTCTGTCGTCGGCACCCCCATTTTAAAGACGAGAAACTGAGGCTCATGGGTAGAGTCCTTTGCCAAGGACACCCAGTGCCTGGGGATCGACTCCGTTGCCGTGTGTGTCCTTGTGGTGGTTGCTATGTGAATGAAGTCACACCGGTGTGCTTTAAACCCCATGGACTTCTGAGTTATTGTGAAAAGGTCAATCAGAAATCGGCACATGCTGCCCGTGGAGGAAGAGAGATGTCGAATGAGGATCATCGACAGCCAAGGGCCCAGGGGACACCCCCAACCACCTATGAGGAAGGAGCTCAACAGGACAGTGATCCTGATGTGGGCTGCTGGTCTCCAGAACTGTGAAAAAGAAATCTCTGTCCTTAGACGCCTCCCCCTTGTGGGGTCTGGGCCACAGCAGCTCTAGGAAACTGAGACAGACTGCATTTTAAAATGGTTTCTAAGCTGTATTTCCAACCCCCCCTGCCCCAAGTCCATACTGTCCCCACCATGAACCCCCTCACTCCAAGCAACCCAGAGACCCTCCCAGGCAGTGGGGCAGGAAGAGAGCTGGCAAGGACAGGGGCCGGGGCTCCGTGTGGGCAGGGTTGGTGCTGGCAGCCTCTCTCAGGCCTTCCCCCAGTCTCCTGCACCTGCTTCTAAAGGTGAGAGTGGGCTGAGGGGAAGGCCTCTCAGGGGTGGTGTGTGTGTAGTGGTGTGTGTAGTGGTGGTGTGTGTAGTGGTGGTGTGTGTGTGTGGGTGGGGGGTGTGGGGGGGGGGGGGGGGGTGGTGGGGGTGTCCCAAGGCCTCCCCTGTCCTGCATGCGGGGTCCCACTCACCAGGTCTGGTTGGTGCTGGAGTCCTGGTGCAGAAGGGAGCTGACCACAAAAGGTGCATCCTTGGGGGTGACCCAGGACTGGGCCACGTCCACATTGAAGCCCTCCAGAGGGGCCAGGCCTGCAGAAAAAGAAAACACTTAGTAACGGAAGCACGTCAGTGAGACCTGGACTGAGCCAACCTGCCGGACTCCCCTCCCGGCTTTAAGCTCTCACAGACCCTGTGCCGTCGACACCCCCATTTCGCAGATGGGAAAAGTGAGGCTCTACAAAGATGAGTGATTT